TTCCCAAAAAATTATTTTTCTTCGTAAAATGATAAATTCCCTTCCCTGAACATGTCTATGTAAAAATAAATACCAAATTCCACTTGCTTTGGCTGTGGGGACGTGGACAAGGTGCGCTCTGACGTCAGGGCCTGGTCGCCCGTGCGTGAATCTCCCAGACATGGTCGCGCGGGCCATTCAAGCACCGGGTGTTGCCACAAATATATTTTCAATTATTTGTTTTATGTATTTTCAATGTGGTTTTATTTTTTTTTTTTATCGTATATGGTGCATATTTGTGTCCTTTACAATATGTATACAGTAGAACGTTCATAATGTTCCATGGAACTGTGGTACATGTGTCGGTAATGTGTCCACAATAAATGTTTATTGTCGCAATATTACCTGTTAAAAGTTCACTAAAATTACAATATGTACAGTTTCACACATTATTTACACAGTAACACTGTCTTACACACTCAGTACTTCGGAAGTGAGTAATAATCAATGAAGTAGCCCATGGTACACAGCGCAACTTCGCTCTCAGTGCACGAGGTACAGATAAATTTTCGCTTCTTGTTTCTTCATTCTATGTGCTTGCAAATAACGCACTGACGTACACACTTGGCTTTAGTACTTGTAGGTTGTATGTAGCCAAGCTTGTAAAGCATAAGGTAGTATTGAAAAGATTATAGGAAAAGATCAATTTGTAAGGTAGTCTTGAAAAGATCGCTTTGTATGGTCCCACACAGGAAGAGATTCAGCTTACCTCAAGAGTGTCCGTCAGTCAGGAAGAGATTCAGCTAGCCTCAAGCGTGTCCGTCAGTTAGGAAGAGATTCAGGTATTCTTGAAAATATCTATGGAAAACACCACCATGGAAGCCGCTAACACTGTTCATCTATGCTATTTGTATCAGATGCATCATCACTGAATGCAGAAAATGATTCATCTACAGTATGTATCATCTAAATAAATTGTAGATAGCATAGGATTGCAAGAGTGACGCTATTTTGGCCGCAATAAGGCGAGGAAATCTGGCAAAATTGAGGCGTTGACGGAGTAAACGTCGAAGGCGGTCAGCTCCATCTGAGCTGTCAGGCGAGAGTTGCCACAAATATATTATTACTTATTTAAATGTCTCCGATTGATTTTTCCTTAGTTTTTTTGCAGTAAAATTATTCAATAGTGTGTAGTGTGATATATTTATATAATAAAATGTGTGAATCATCGCTATACTCAAAAGTATGGTGTGCATATTAGTGATGCAATTATTATGTTCATAAAAAATATACAAATAGTTTTGCTGTTATTACACTGTATACTCACGTTACATACAGTATAAGTAGGTGCATGATTTATTTACCACAACGAAACACTAAGTTGGTATGGTGAGTCAAAACAACAAGAGTGGCTGCCACACACCAGCCAGCAGACACCATGAGTGGTGTCAGATGATTCATGACCTTCAAGAAGACCTGGACAAAATAAGTATATGGAGCACCACTTGGCAAATGGAATTTAATGTTAATAAATGCCATGTTATGGAATGTGGAATAGGAGAACATAGACCTCACATAACCTATATATTATGTGAGAAATCTTTAAAGAATTCTGATAAAGAAAGAGATCTAGGAGTGGTTCTAGATAGAAAACTATCACCTGAGGACCACATTAAGAATATTGTGCGAGGAGCCTATGCCACGCTTTCTAACTTCAGAATTGCTTTTAAATACATGGATGGTGATGTACTAAAGAAATTGTTCACGACTTTTGTTAGGCCAAAGCTAGAATATGTAGCGGTTGTGTGGTGCCCATATCTTAAGAAGCACATCAACAAACTGGAAAAGGTGCAAAGACATGCTACTAAGTGGCTCCCAGAACTGAAGGGCAAGAGCTATGAGGAGAGGTTAGAGGCATTAAATATGCCAAAACTTGAAGACAGACGAAAAAGAGGTGATATGATCACTACATACAAAATAGTAACAGGAATTGATAAAATTGATAAGGAAGATTTCCCGAGACCTGGAACTTTAAGAACAAGAGGTCATAGATTTAAACTAGCTAAACACAGATGCCAAAGAAATATAAGAAAATTCACTTTCGCAAATAGAGTGGTAGACGGTTGGAACAAGTTAGGTGAGAAGGTGGTGGAGGCCAAGACCGTCAGTAGTTTCAAAGCGTTATATGACAAAGAGTGCTGGGAAGACAGGACACAAAGAGCGTAGCTCTCATCCTGTAACTACACTTAGGTAATTACCACCTTCCTCCCGCCTTCACAAACACTTCACTCGCCAACATTCCTCTTCAAACCATACTGTTTTTGTTTTTATTACACTATATACAGACGTTATATATAAGTATCTACATATTTTGTTCACCATAGCTGTACAACTAAGCTGGTATGGTGAGTTCTGACAATAACAGGTCACCTCACAATCAGCTGATGCTCCCTCCTCTCCCTCCCTCACCAAAATGGCTCCATGCAACACACTCCTTTCGCTGTTATTACACTATATACACACACGTTACATATAAGTATCTACATTAGTGTTCACCATGGCAAACCACTAAGCTGGTATGGTGAGTCCAGACAATAACAGGTTGCCCCCACACAGTCAGCAGATGACGCTACCTGCCTCCCTCACTAAGATTACTCATCCCACCATACTATGCACAGCACTAATTATCATCACAATCCTGCTATTATCAGAAGCCTGGTCATTTTTATCACAGTCAGGGGTCTTCTGTAATGCTATCGTCGCTAAATAATAGCAGTTACATATATATTTTGACATTTTTAGGCGATGCTGTGGTCACAAGCTGAACAGCAGTGCTGTTAGCTAATGCTACGTGCGCTAGCCTTGGCTGCTCACTCAGTACTGAGGCTCTCATTCCTGGGAATGTTACCCAGTTTTTTTTTTTTAATGGCATCTGTTTACTAGAGCCCTGAAGAAGCTGATGTGAACCTGTGTAGCCACGGGTCATTTAAATTGTGTGTTGCACAATTTAACCCTTAACACACAATTGTGTGTTAAGGGTTAATGTGTGCTTGTTCGCCCCTGTGCTTTCTCCTGGATGTTGGCCTTGCACATGCCAGTTCCTACCCTTTCAGCATCCTTGTTTGCTGAAGATTTGCCCGTCCGTGGGCATTTGGCTTCAGTCTTGCACTTCTTTTCCCTTCTCGAACTGTCTTCAGCCTGGCATAAGGAGGCTGTGGAGGCGTTGAGTGCCTGGCCTTCGTTGGGTGTGCTGGCCTTGGCAATTCGGGCGTCGTCTGCACTGTTGAAGCTGTTTGTGCCTATCCTGAAGGAAGTGGTGTCTGTTCTTTTCTGCTTGTCTTGCATGCCGTCAGGTTTCTCACTCTCTCTTTTGGAATCTGCTTGGGCCCTGGCTCTTAGGTTTTCATCAACGTTTTGTCCGTTGCTGTTTGCGGAGGCTACTGTCACACAATTTCTGCAGGCGTCTTCGTCTAGTTGTCGTCCTATGTCGGACTCGTTGAGTCTCCAGGGTGTCCATTCTCGACCTACTAGGAAGGGTCGTGCCAGGGCTCATGGTTCCGCTGGTTGGGGTGGGCCATTGGTTTAGCTTCTAAGCTGGCTCTTCCTTCGGAGCCAGCGTCGTCTGGTCGGCGTGATGATAGCTCTGTTTGTTGGTCGGCTTCTCATAATGGCGTCAGCCATTTCGCGGTTTGCCCCATTGACGGGGCGATGGGGGGAGGCTCGCTTTGTTTACTCGCGCTTGGGCATTTCAAGTCGTGTCATCCTGCCTCTGGTGGCGTTAGGCGGCTGCTCCTCCTTTGGGGGTCATGGGGCTGGTGGAGCAGGCTTCTTCCCCTGCGCTTCGTTGGGTCATATCGGAGTGGGTGGGCTTGGGCATGGTCGAAACGACCTTGTCCCTCAAGTGGGTATCCCACATGTTTTCAGTGCCAAAACAGGTCTGTGTGGATCTGCAGTTCATTCTGGACTTGTTCCGTCTGAACCTCTGGATTCCTTGTCTCTCCTATCGGATGACCACTCTGTCTTCTTTTGGAGCCGGGTGCCTGGATGGTGTCCCTGGACCTTAAGGACACGTATTGGTATGTCCTGATTCATCCGGGGTTCAGGGACTGGTTGGGTTTCGTGGTAAAGCTTACTGCTTTCGTTGACTTTCTTTTGGCTTGAATCAGGCACCTTGCGTATTCACTCGTTTTACCCAGGTCGTGGTGACCCGTTTGCATCTGCTAGGGGTTTGGGTTCTGGCCTACCTTGACGATTGGCTGGTGTGGGCTCCCAGTCGGTCTGCTTGTCTGCTCGTCAGGGGTGTGGTTCTTTCCCAGTTTGTCGGATTCGGGTTCCTCGTGAACTGGCGGAAGTCCCATCTGGTTCCGTCCTTGGTTTGGACCTGGCTGGGTCTTGTTTGGGACTCTCGAACCACTTCCATGTCTCTTCCTCCGGAGGCGTTGTTGTGGCTGTGGTCCTGCCTTCAGCTGTTTCTGGCAGGGTACTGGGTCACTCGACGGTTGCTCGAGCAGTTGTGCAGGAGTCTGAACTTGGCTGGGTTGTTTGGCTTCGGCGTCTGTTCTGGTTCCTTCATGGATGCAACTTCCGCTTCTCATGCGATCGCTGGGTTCATGCTCCCGGGACCTTGCGTCAATTGCTGCATCGCCGACTTCCCTTTGGGTTTTCGGGGTTCAGTTCCTTGGTGCCTACCTAAGCCCTCGCTCGATGTGTTCACGGAGACGTCATCTCAGGGGCTGGGACTTTGTGACCAGTGCTCACCAGGCAGGCCAGGGGCGGTGGGATCCATCCTTCCGTCGGGCTCACAGCATGATGCGGGAGTTCGCTGCGGTTTGGCTGTCATTTCAGAGGGTTCCCACCATTTGGACTGTTCATCAGTGGTTCATTGCCTGAACCGTGGGGGTTCTCTTTGGTAGGTAAGTACAGTTCTTAAAATGCTAGTAAATAATTAAGAAAACTGTAATAATTATATGAATATTATCTAGCAATTTGTCCACAATTTTTAATTATGAGATTCTCCACAGGCAAACTTTAGTTACCGAAGATTCTCAGAAATCAGAAGAGAAGCCTGTATCAAGTAGCCTGGTAGCTGAGAAATCCAAAGATCAGGTAAGAATGAAAATATTTGAATTTTTTTGTGCATGTTTCTCAAATATTAGATTCCATCACACAGCTGTGTGCATGCAAAATGTTCTCACAATGCTTTAATGTTTTATATTTCTCCAACCAATTATTTCTTCTTTGGAATTAATTAGGTACCCCAAGTTGAAATAATATAATTTTGGCAAGTTTAATTTTCAAGAACTCCTCTTCAGTAGCTTCTGGTAGCTTGTGCTAGAGTGAAATCAAGCCTTGAGAAGTGCACCAAACTTTTGAAACTCAGGGGGTGATGTACCAACAGCCAGGACCAGAATATGGTACTGTCTGTGTGGCAAGGGGAGCTTTGAAATCAGAGGTTGATCCAAAACAAAGAAAAATCTACCAGAATGATAGGTGTTAGAAAACAACAATTGCTTGAAGAAAGAAATGGATTCAGAGTTACACAATCCAAATGATTGTTATTGCAGGCATAGAACGCTAACTTTGATGCCCCGACCTCCGTCATACGGAGTTCATGCAGGGTTGTGGTACTTGTTGGTATCACATGGGCAACATTAATATTCATACATGGGCACACAATGTAAATTGTCATGTGATGATGATCATATTACACTAAACAATCAACACATGACAATGACTACACTGAGAGTTAGAAACTGTCTTGTCTCCTCCCTGTGGCAGTTTGTCAGATTCAAAAATCTACAAAGAACCAAAATGAACCGCATGGAACAAGGAAATTAAAAGCACTCAGACCTTTGACAATTGTATAATCCTCACTAATCTGCCTACCCTAACCACTACCAGTTGGCAGTCTAAACTACCCAAGGGTAGTTTAGACTGCCCTCCATCCCTGCAATCACTGCCTCCCAGCCCTCCCTTAATGCCTACCCCCCATCACTGCCTCTCTCCCTCAATAACTCGCCTCTCGGGGCAAAATTAAAAAAAAAAAAAGCAGGCTATGTAGGAGGGAGCTACTAACGGGGTCGAAGCTAGGCAACCCAGACGAGTCCGTCAGCACCTGCTCGCAGATGCCAACTGTGCATAATTCATAAATAAAACTATATTTGTTTAACCCTTGTGTGGCTCCGGGCTATTTAGCATTTGTCACCCACAGGCGCATGCCAAAAAAAAAAAAATATTTTCTAAACCTGTGTTCTCTGATCATGGGAAAAATAATAAAAAAATCGTAAGTGGCATATATTGCCCGCTATAGGGTGGGGAAGTCTGGCAAAAAACAGGCGCTGACTCAACGTGCGTCCCAGACGGTCTGTTGCTCGCCAGCTGTCAGGCAGGAGTGGCCACAAAGAGATAATTACCTAAATATTTCAATGTCTCTGATTTTTCGTAGTTTTTCTGTGGGGAGCCCCTACAGCTCTCTGGAGCTTATCGGGCTAATGTATTAGACCGGGACATTACCTAAGGCATTCAAACCTACCAGGGACTAGCGCCAGAACCTAGCCCTTTCCGAGAGGTTTCAGGGAGCAATGGCCCTGGAAAACCCCCTTGTGGTTGGGGTTTTCCTTATCTGCCATCGACCGGGGTTAGGCACCCTGAAAGGTAGGCATAACAAAACAAACCCCACATGGTAAAAAACTAAAACAAAAAACCGAACAGAGGTAGAAACTCCCTACAATCCCAAGGAAACAAGCAAACAAGCAAACATCACACTTTACTGCCGCACCGATCGTCCGCGCAGCCCTCCCTGCCCCGAGAGGGGTAGGGGGGAGCCCCGGACCTACCGCACCGCCTGCCTAGCTTCAGTTCGTAAGCTAATGTCAACCGGGATAGACGCTTCTCTGGCCTCAGTTTCCTAGGCGGTGTTTGCCTTGTGTGGCGTTCACTGTCGTGTGTTGTGTTGTGCGGTGGCCAGGAGTACCTCATCAGTGCCAGGGCTGCATGCGCTTAGGGGCTTCCTTTCCTAAGCGCCCTGTGAGTACTGCCCTTGCATGACAGGGTTATCTTCCCTGGGGCGTTCAGGAACCATTCTCGTAGAGGTTCTTGCTGCTCGGCATTTGCCTCGCCCTTGGGGCCCTTGTTTGGCCCTAGGTAGGGACTGGTATTGTGCTGGTTAGGGCGTCAAGGTGTTGCGCGACCTGCCACCTAAGCGGCAACTGGTTCCTGTTGCCTCTGGAGACGGTGTACTTTTGCGGGGGTTATCTTTTGTTTTTATTTTCATGTGCCTGGTGGGGGCCTGCCTAGTGTGGCTATAGTTCCACTGGTAGTGTTTGGTGGCCCTCTGCTAGGCCCCTGTGATTGTACACGTCGCAGGGGTTTACAGTGCTATCCTCTAACCTCTTGTTATTTTTGGGTTTCTTAACCGGTTAGCAACACCTTGCACGGGCTTCCCGTAGCAGTCAGCCTACGGGCCATGGAAACCCCTGTCTGGGCTCGGTGGACCATTGAATGTGTCTTCCAGGTTCCAACCCCTCTTGTACAGGATCGTTGGTGCTTTGCCCTTGTCTCCGGGTGACAGTCGCCACTTTTACCTCCGTCATGTTGCCTGTTGGGTCACTGACACTTTGACCCGGAGTCTTGCGATAGAGATTCTCTGCTTGTTCTCCAGTACTCCCCTGATGTTATTACTGTTCAGAGTACAGGCGGCATCCGTGTTGCAAGATAGGTTAGGTTGCTGCAACATGCTCGGTTGGTTTCCCACTCGGATGCCCAGGGGCTGCCCCGTTTTGGTTAGGTGCTGTTCGCCCCTTTCCCTCCCTGTTCCCATCTCCGGACCGTCTGCGGGATTCGGGGTCGGGGAGGGGTTTAGTTGGGACCAAGACTCGGGCGGTTTTCGGGGGCTGCCCCGTTCGGGTTGGGGACAGAGGTTTTCGAGCCTGTTCCTCCTGCCTAAGCTTCTGGGTCTTACCAGCGGCCCTTTCTTGCTGCCTTTCCCATGAACTCTTCCTTTTCTTTAAGGGCGGAGGGCTTGGAGGACGGCTCTGCCCCAGGGCCTCTGTTGGGGGTTCCCGGGGCTGTGGGTGATGCCTGCTAGCAGTTCTGGGGCGGTTTGCCCCCTGCCTGGGTTTTCTGCTTCTGGGCAGAGTTTTTCGCCCATCCAGTCTGCTTGCTTCCCATTTTTGCTGGCATGTTTTCGTATCTTTTGCGTCGGCCACAGCCCTCTGTTCTGTTGGCCATTTTCTTCTGCCGGTTTCCCGGCGTGGCCACCAGGGCGGCGTTGCGGTTTGTTTACATGCGCCTGGGGTGTGCGAGCGAGCGTCTTGGGTGAGTTATTCCCCTTTTTCAGGGGTTTTATTCTGTTATCCTGTTGTCATTTCTTTGCTTTTCTGGTGTTTTCTTCCCGTTTCCTGTTCCTCTGGGAACATTTGAGTATTGATTTTACACCAGGTTTTTCCGTTTTGAGTCTGGGCCCTTGGGTTTGGTCTCAGTGTCCCTGTCTATTATGCTTGCTCCCACACCTTGTCCCTTGGTTTTCGGTATATTTTGACCATTTCTCTGGGGGTTCTGTCCGGGGGCTATGCTTTGCCTTTCTGTGGTGTATCTCTGCCGGCAAATGTGGTGGTTTTGGGCTCCCCCTGATTCGATTCCGGGTTCCTATGGGTTCTTTGGTTTCGTTTCAGAGGTTTCTTCCTCCTGGGCCCCCTTTGTAGGTTCACAGGGCTTTGTTTCCTCTTGTGTGACCCGGTTCTGCCTTCTGAGGTTCCGGGGTCTTCCTGGCTTGCAGACTGATTTTTTTGGGTCTTGGCACATGTTGTGGTCGTGCTGGGACTTTGGGGTTTTGTTGTCGAGGTGGGCCTTTTGATGCAGTTTTGTGCCTTCTTCGCCTGGCCGGCGTGGTGCTCTCTGACCACTGGCTGGCAGCTTGTAATTTTCTTTTCACGTGTATGTGTGTGTGTACACATGTACATGTGTACACTGTGTATGTGTGCACATGTGTAATTACCTAAGTGTAGTTACAGGATGAGAGCTACGCTTGTGGTGTCCCGTCTTCCCAGCACTCTTTGTCATATAACGCTTTGAAACTACTGACGGTCTTGGCCTCCACCACCTTCTCACTTAACTTGTTCCAACCGTCTACCACTCTATTTGCGAAGGTGAATTTTCTTATATTTCTTCGGCATCTGTGTTTAGCTAGTTTAAATCTATGACCTCTTGTTCTTGAAGTTCCAGGTCTCAGGAAGTCTTCCCTGTCGATTTTATCAATTCCTGTTACTATTTTGTATGTAGTGATCATATCACCTCTTTTTCTTCTGTCTTCTAGTTTTGGCATGTTTAATGCTTCCAACCTCTCCTCGTAGCTCTTGCCCTTCAGTTCTGGGAGCAACTTCGTAGCATGTCTTTGCACCTTTTCCAGTTTGTTGATGTGCTTCTTAAGATATGGGCACCACACAACCGCTGCATATTCTAGCTTTGGCCTAACAAAAGTCATGAACAATTTCTTTAGTATATCGCCATCCATGTATTTAAATGCAATTCTGAAGTTAGAAAGCATCGCATAGGCTCCTTGCACAATATTCTTTATGTGGTCCTCAGGTGATAGTTTTCTATCTAGAACCACCCCTAGATCTCTTTCTTTATCAGAATTCTTTAAAGATTTCTCACATGATATATAGGTTGTATGGGGTCTATGTTCTCCTATTCCACATTCCATAACATGACATTTATTAACATTAAATTCCATTTGCCAGGTGGTGCTCCATATACTTATTTTGTCCAGGTTTTCTTGAAGGGCATGACAATCATCTAAATTTCTTATCCTTCCTATTATCTTAGCATCATCAGCAAACATGTTCATATAATTCTGTATACCAACTGGTAGATCATTTATGTACACAATAAACATCACTGGTGCAAGAACTGAACCCTGTGGTACTTCACTTGTGACATTTCTCCATTCCGATACATTGCCTCTGATTACTGCCCTCATTTTTCTATCAGTCAGAAAATTTTTCATCCATGATAGAAGCTTACCTGTCACCCCTCCAATATTTTCCAGTTTCCAGAACAACCTCTTATGTGGAACTCTGTCGAAAGCCTTTTTTAGGTCCAGATAG